GTTAGAAACTAGAAAATCACATTAAATTCCGAGATTAATATATGTTTGCATCGTGAAAAATTAATATATGTTTGCATCGTGAAAAATGCCTACTCTCTCAAAAGTAAGTCCTCTTCATAGATTTGCTACCACCTCATATTTCTGGCACAATTGTCATGCCAACATCATGAAGCATTATGCCAAAAACATAAGATAACAGAGAGTCCATGAAAAGTCCTATTTTGAGAGAGTCTCCTTAACATTTCTCTTGCATCCTTTCCAAAAATGTTAAGTAATCACTTTAGACCAAGTTGATTCCATTGATACTACCAACCATGCATATACACATGATGCTATAACATGCTCAACCTATGTTAAAAACATATATTTGGCCTAATTACACTCATATCTTGGGTAAATTGTACTTGTGGGGGTAAATTTGTCCTTGTGGATTCCATGCCACACATATTATAAGCACATGCAATGATTTGTATGTTATGATGTATTTTTTTTTAAATAAAATTATTATTTTTAAGGAGGAGAGGAATTCGAAACTATTACAATAATTTAGGCGAGGGGTGAGTTTCAAATTTAGGACATGTGGGCAGAAACCCAACATCATATCCACTAGTCTATTGAACCACATGCGCTATGATGTATCCTCATTAACTAAAGTTTGTCATTTGTCTATATAGACATATACCATGCGAAGCTAAGTCTAGTCGCTACACAAACATCAAACATGATTACATCTGGACATCATAGTACAGTAGTGATGTAGGTTATGACTAGGAGATGTCATGAAATTATACAACATCATAACATAAAACGTCCGAATTACAAGAAAGGTAAGTTTACATTATAATCATTGAAGTTACACTACAAGGTTGCTTATGATGCTAAGATTGTAGTTAATTAATAATACAGAATGACATTATTACTATAAACAAGGTAGGTCATTACATTGTTGATGTTCTATTGCAATGTAAAGGTAGTTTTTTTTATACTTAGATGTGACTGAATTACAATAACAATGTTTATGATTACACTATTGACTTATTACAATATAAATATAGGTTATTACCAGGGGACGTATTGAAATTACACAACATCGTAACAACTTGAATTACAAGAAGGTAAGATTACACTATAATAATTCAAAATTACACTTGAAGGTTACATACTTAGGATATGATTATAGTTAATAAGACAGAATAGGTTGTTATCATTATAACAAGGTTGATAGTTACATTGAGAACATTCTATTACATTGTAAAGGTAGGTTTTTACATGTAGTCATGATTGAATTACAATAGTAAAATTTAAGATTATAGATGTAGGTTATTACTACAGACAAGATTACAACGATGATTACTTACAATTTGGTCAAAAATGCATTGGATCAGGAAGAGAAAGAGAAAGAGAAGGATAGACGATGGAGGTCATGTTAGTGGTGGCTAATTGTGGCGACTAAAAATCAAACTGGTGATCGTTTCAACGGTGGTCACGATAAAGATAGAGATCAAAGATGAAATTTGAGAAGGTGGAGACTAGAGAAGGTAGTGGTGATGGTTTCAGAGGTGGCTACTATCACAAAGATGGATATCTGATATAAATGTCGTTGCATTATGGGCTATCCTCTTCTACATGTTCACTATCATTGTCAGCGGTGAAATGGATGATATTCAAATGTTGTCGTTCGTGGCATAGATATTTGATAAATATTGTTGATATATACTAGTCATATGCTCACACTTTATATGTGTGTAATTAATTTTGTCTATTATTTATTATAAAAATATTTATATTACTTTTTTAAGGAAAAAAAACTTAAACAAAATAAAAATAAAATTAGATGTGGAACTTGGAAGAAGGGGAGAGGGTTGATGAAGTGGGAAACGTGGGTTAGAAAAACCTTATTAATTTTTATTTAATTTTTACATAGGGTGTGTTTATGATTACTTGGTGTTGAGACCCAAAAATGTCACACACAAACCCAACCGAGCCTTGAAGCCCAACTGTCATGCAAGCCTCTATTCAAGACCAAATACATGCAAAGGTGCTAGATCGAGGAAGACATATATTTATGAACATGCCATGCTACGGTAATTAGATTGGATCACGCCATGCCTATTTGTCACGCTAGTCACTATTCACGCTAAGCCCAAGTCACATGTCGGGGGCTTATCAAGTGAATTGTGGTGTGGATGGTTATGGAAGTTCATTGGGCCTACATGGAGTCAAGATTGTGGAAGACTTTGGGTTGCTTAGGAGCCCAAAAGTCCAAGCCCATGACCTTTGTATTCCACATGAGTAAGTTTGAGAGAGAATTAACCTAGTTTGCCTCTTTGCCTAGCAAGCCAACCTTTTAGTTAGGACCAAACCTGATTCTTGCATTAAATGTATGCTAAATCCAGCAAGTCAGACATTTAATGCTAACCTTCCCTTCCCAGCTTGCATAGACAACAAAAGCGTGAAAGTCGTGAGGCGCACTACCAAAAGTAGCACATGCAGAAAGCTAGCCTGGGAAAGCCATGCCTCAGGAAGAAGCAAACTGTAAGTCTCAACAGTGCAATTATCTTACACCAAAAAAGGCATAATAGGAGAGCTAGGGAGAAAGGAAGGGAAGACCAAGCCAGAAAGGGAGATTCCTTTGAAGCCTAAAGAAAGATCCTTCACTTACATAAGGAGGGAGAAACCATTTGAGAAGGGGGAAGTAGAACACAGGAAGAGGATTAGAGGTAACACAGAAAATAGGGAGAGAAAATGCAGAGAGACAAAGCCAAGAAGCAACACCCAGGAAACATACTCAAAGAATTTCATTAGTCTAGAAATATCCTATAAGCCTCAAGAATCATCATCCATGCAAAGTTAGTGTTTCCCATAGTTTTCCACTAACATCTCAGCCATCGTAAGCCTTGATGTTACCCTAGGAAACCCATATTATTTACCAGAAAACACTATGAAACCATGCCAACTCTCTTTCTCAACATGCTAAACTAATGAACTTCTAGTTTCCGCACCATGCTTCTCTTGATCAAGTCATTATTTGCCTAAACCATGCTATCTTCGAGTGGTTGATCTAACCAGGATATTTCCTAAGACAAGCTAACTCTTTTGAGATATTTCGGGACTTGGTACGAAACTGAACCAAGGGAGACTAGAAAACGTTCTCAAAGCCCAAGTCCACCTCGACCTAAAAGTCCCCAACACCTGGCTGTGAGGTTTGTGTAAAAAAAACAAAATTTGTGTTTATGTAATTACTAAATTGCTCATGTATTTTATTTTTGTTCAGTTTTGATGAGAGGGTTAGAATAGTAGTTTTGTGTAGTTTTGGTTGACAAACAATGTTCTATTAATAAGTAGTTTAGATAAGGTCGATGTCTAGTTGACATTGGTGGTGTGACGTCTATATTTAGTACCACAACGTCATTAAGTAGTTTAGATAAGGTTGATGTTTGGTAGACATTGGTGGTGTGACATCTATATTTAGTACCACAACTTCATTGTATTGTCATTAACACAGCGTTGATACAAGATTGTTATAACGTTGGGAGTGGTTGGGAGATTCCAATATTGAGATTTTTTTAATGAATATATACAATATTATCTACATTAAGGGGTGGGGGAGTGGTAACCTTATATTGGGCTAGCCGTGATAATTTAGTTTGAATTCGCTTTTGGCAAGAATCGAACCTAAGACCTCTTACTTATAAGTAAAAAATAAATTACACTAAATCGTAGTACTAAGTGGCCAATATTGAGAATTTTATAGTTAAATAATTTTAAAGAGGAAGTGATGGGCTAATGTTTGACAAAATTGGCTTCAAAAGAAGATTGGGAAAAAACGAATTGGGCTGGGCTAATATTGCTATCCAACTTATGTTCCGGCCTCTGCAAATGCAAGCAGGTCAACTGACTTTATACGAAATCTAATTTGGTGGATGATGTGGTATTTTGTTAACTCAATTTAAGTCATTTCTCTCTCTTTTTTTTTTTTTTTTTTTTTTTTTTTTTTTTACACTTATGTTTATTTCTCTATTAATTCTCCTTTAACTTATGCAATTGGATATGGACAAACATATAAATTAAGAATGTGTCGATAAAAAATAAGTGTGGAAATCACTTTTATTTTTTCATGTGGCATTGCAAATTGGGATGTGTAAGCCTCGAACTTTACTGCACGACTTGTCATATGTTTTTGGCCTACGCTTTAGTCTTCACCTAAAATCTTGGTCATTGCCTCAGGCCCTCATGTATGAAAGATTTTTTTTACTGTACTCGGAATACAAGATAGCACATCACGTGTCATAATAAAAGTCGGGAGATGATATATGGATTGTTTTATTAACACTCCATATATTGTTGAATACACCCCCCACATTTGTTTTTTCAATTAAAATTTATCTTAATATACCCCACATTACTTCCAATAATATCCTCACACACTACACTCTCAACATAAACTCGACATTTTATACAGACAATCCACACTGTTATGTGCATAATTCAAACAATTATCCTAGATATGGCGATCCTTTTGGGTCCCGCATGCACAGTGGAGCCCCTCATCATTTTCCCAGGCAATACGAGCAACCGTCGCTTCCATACTTTTTCTGGACATTATGCTAAAAACAATCTTGATCCATATAGGCTTTACCCATATAATGGATTGTTTCACCATCCTACTTGCCCTTGCTTCTATTGCTATGACAAAACACCTGCAGGGTTCAGCGCAATACGAGATGGTCAAGTTTAATCCCCATTATCTAGTATTTTTTATTTTTTTATGAACAAACGAATATTATCTATCATGTATCATGTGGTTCAAATTCACATTTTACGAGAATCAAACCTAACCCCTATAATTAACAAGTGAATAGCAATATCACTTTACCTGACCGTAATCCTAACGTTTCAACTTAATTTAATTGTATAGGGCGGACCAAACAATATTGACCAAATTTAAAATTGCAACAGACGACCGAAAATTGGTGTTATTTTAGTCCAAAAACGAAAGCCATGGCTCTAAACACCTCCTATCTACCACTCTTGATTGTACTACCTACCCTTCTTCCAACTTCCTCTTCCCGTTTTCTTAAACTTGGCATCTTCTCTCTCAAATCCTCACCTCTCTCTCTCTCTAGCTGCTACCGGAGGTGGGAGACGATGAAGCCCAGCAGAGTACTGGCGGCTCTGTTCCTTTTGGTGGCTGTCTACTGCGGAATCGACCCTTTTAAGCACAGTGCAATTGTGGAATTCCCGGACTTCCAAGCCCATAAGGTGGACATGCCGCCGTGGTCCTTGGTTCCGGAAGACAAAGACACCGAGAACCTCCTGCAGAAATCGGAGATTAAGTTCCTTAACCAAGTGCAAGGCCCTGAGAGTGTCACCTTTGACCCGCTTGGCCGCGGACCTTACACCGGCGTTGCTGATGGCAGAGTCTTGTTCTGGAATGGCCAAGCTTGGACTGATTTCGCCTATACTTCGCCTCACAGGTGAGAATTTCGGAATTGGGTTTCTGGGTTTTACTCAGTTTTGGTAGTGGTGATTGTTGTTAAGTACTTCTGTGATGGTTGCTGTTCTCATAACTTTTTGTGCAAGAAATGTGATAACTAGTAGTGTTTGTTGAAGAAAGTACATTGCACGGTAAAAAAATGCATGAATCATTTCTATTTGCTAGTTGGTTGGTAGTCTAATGTAAGCGAAATTCCGTTCTCAGTTCAAGGATGCAATTGCTTGTGATTATGATAGTTGATCATTTGGAGCTCCGATTTTCAAACTAGCAATTTGTAATGTTGGTTTCGTTTAAAGCTTCAAAATCTTAGTTACTGCCAGAGATGCAATATATTGAGCTTCAAACTGTTGAAACTAGATCTCATCATGGAAATTGCGCTTATCAACGAAGAGATGATGAGCTAATTAGTTATGTCGTCGTTGAATTTGAGATGTCTTCGTGTATTTGTTATTTTGAAAAATAATTAAGTATATTGCAGCTGTGTTTTTTGGTTATTCTCTTTCAGTTATTATTGTTCGAATGATAAATTTCTTTGTTTGTTTTGTTTCGGGATACAGGTCAGATATATGTAGCCCAAAGCCATCACCTTTGAGTTACTTGAAGAATGAGCACATCTGCGGAAGGCCTCTGGGGCTACGCTTTGACAAGAAAACAGGTGATTTATACATCGCAGATGCATATCTTGGTCTGTTGAAGGTGGGGCCAGAAGGTGGTTTGGCAACTTCACTTACGACAGAGGCAGAAGGGGTGCCGCTAAGGTTTACTAATGATCTTGACATTGATGAAGAAGGGAATATTTACTTTACAGATAGTAGCACCATGTACCAGAGGAGGTAGGCTATGCATTTCTTTAAGTTCTTTCTGAAACAGCATACACAGCGGGATACACCTTTTCCTTTTGAGTGTGATTGGTTTGAGATTGGTACTCTTGTTGATATGATATGGAATTGACAATTTGACATCAATGACCCCTTCTGAATATTGGGCGTATTCAATCGTTTGTGTATTTACGTTTATTAGTCCTCATCTCCTTTTGTATTAGTTGAGCTGTCTTCTGCTGGGCCTGTCAATGGATCTTCAGCTTCTATACATCGTTCCATTAGTTGGTTGGTTACCAAACAGTCAAAGATGAAACCAAAAGATTAGTCATTACTGTGGGTGGCATCTAGTATCATTCTTCTTACAAATCTTTGGTCCTGTTCTAACTACATTGTGTGAATGTTTTGGTTTTTCTTTTCCAAGAACCATTCGTTTTGTTTTGTTTTTTTTTTTAATTCTGCTTGTTTATTTATATTCTCAACGGAAGAGAAGCACTATGCATGATTCTAACAGAAGTAATTTCATTCAGGAACTTCATGCAATTGGTTTTCTCCGGGGAGGACACTGGGAGGGTTCTAAAATACAACCCAACCACAAAGGAAACAACTGTTCTTCAGAGGAATATCCGATTTCCAAATGGTCTGTCCCTGAGCAAGGATGGTGCCTTCTTTCTCTTTTGTGAAGGAGCCGTGGGCAGGTGAGCTTTTATATTCTTTTTAAAACATTTAACTTCTCAGGTTACAACCACTCTATGCAAATTCAACCCTCGTCTAGGTGCGGTCCGTGCATAAGTAGGATATACATGACAAGGAGTTATGGACCCTTGTTTGTCTTCATGATTCATTTTACACATATATTTGGTTGCCTTGGAACCAAGTGCAGTTATCTTATCTGTTCATGAAAATCCTTCAGGAATTATTTTGAACTTAATTATAAAGCACATTCCATTATTGATGTTGTAGATTACGCAAGTACTGGTTGAAAAGTGAAAAAGCAGGAACTTCAGAAGTATTTGCAGTGCTGCCGGGATTTCCAGACAATGTCAGAACTAACGAAAATGGTGAATTTTGGGTGGCACTCCACTGCCGCCGGAATTTGTACACTCATATTTGTGCTGCATTCCCACAATTAAGGAAATTCTTACTCAAGCTTCCAGTTCCATCACGGATTCAGTTCCTGCTTCACATTGGAGGCCGACTGCATGCAGTGGTTGTGAAATACAGCCCAGAGGGTAAGATTTTGCAAATATTGGAAGATAGCGAGGGGAAGGTTGTTAAAGCTGTGAGTGAAGTTGAAGAAAAGGATGGAAAGTTATGGATGGGGAGTGTTCTGATGCCCTTCATAGCAGTCTATGACTTAGATTGAGGTAAAAACCGTAAAAGTGTTTGTTTACCTAAATACAAGACTATTTATTATCATGCTAGAGGTTTCGGTGTTTCTGCTATTAGGTTCAAGCCTTTAGCTTGTCATCCCCTCTCTTTTCTCCTCGATGTTTCTCATTTGGAGGAGTTAGAATGAATAGGACCGGGGATTGTCTTGTATCGTCATTGTAGGAGACGGACTGCAGAACGTAAACGTGTGCGTGTGCTAAGTTTGTAACAACCTTGTGGTTGAAATAAGAAGAAACTCTGTAATGACCTTGTTCAGAAAAGGTATGTTTTCCTTCAACATTTAATTCTTCTACGAAAGGGTTGCCCATTGTGTGACTTAGCCGAACTCCCTTTCTGCCTAATATAAAAATATCGATGTACTAAAAAAACAACAATAACAATAACAAAGCCTTTACCCACTAAGTGGGGTCGGCTATATGAATCCTAGAACGCCATTATATTCGGTTCTGTTTCACGTCTTTCGTAACCGTTAGATCCAAGTACTCTTAAGTTTTTTCTTAGAGTCTCTTCCAAAGTCTTCCTAGGTCTTCTTCTAACCCTTTAGCCCTGAACCTCTGTCCCGTGATCGCATCTTTTAACCGGAGCATCAGTAGGCCTTCACTTCACATGTCCAAACCACCATAACCGATTTTCTCTCATCTTTCCTTCAATTTCGGCTACTTCTACTTTACATCGAATATCCTCATTCCTAATCTTATTCTTTCTCGTGTGCCCACACATCCAATGAAGCATTCTCCTCTCTACTACACCCATTTTATATACATGTTAATGCTTCACCACCCAACATTTCGTGCCAAAAAGCATTGCCGGCCAAAATTCTTTTACAAGAGCACGTTACCAAGTACACATCTGTTATTTTTGCTTCAAACCCTTAATTTGAAACATAGTGTGCCTAATCGAACTGAATACTTTAAATGCAAGAGTGAATGTTCTTACCAACTAGGTTACAAACAGAGTAGTGATGGTTGCTTTCAAACAGTAGGAATCAATTTGGCATTTCATTTCTCATTTGTTTCTACACCTTTGCTCTAGGAGTGCGATCTAAGATACAAGTTACAGTTTCTACTTCAGATCGCACTCGGTGAGCAAAGGAGAACAAACAAATCCGAACTGAAATATCATACTGATTCCTATTGTTTGAAAGCAACCTCACATTCATAGGTAACATATCGTCTCCAAGATGTTCCCAATAATCATTTCTTGGAAAAGAGTTCTTCAAAAGTGTTCTTGCATTTTGCAAGCAGAAAGGTTGATGGAGTAAAGAACATTGAATTCGCACCATAATCCCACCTGTAAACCAACTTAAACCGTTCAATCAACGTGTTCCCTATTGCTATGCTACGCTACAACCAAAATTACAGACAGTAACTGAGAATTTCATCTTTCATCTTTCATCTTTCGATCTTGCCCTGCTTATCCTTCAAGGAAGTATTAGGAACCGGGTGCCAACCATTTACCCTCTTTTTGCCGAGGCAGTCTTGATTCCCAGAACCCTGTTTACCGAAGTGATCTTTCTCAAAAGGCTTGCTAGAGTCTGAACTACTAGTGTTAGTTGCCCCTGTTACAACATTTTTCTTCCCACTACTTCCTTTATGATCCTTCGTCAACCTGCTGGTAGTTTGCGCCTTCGATTCGACCACAATTTCCTTCAGTGCTTCTTCCAGTTTATCTAGTCTCGTTTTCACCTCCAAAAGCTCTGAACAAATCCTGCTTTTTTCCATTAGTAGTGTTTAGTTCATCTTTTGCTTTTGCTGCTTCTTTCTTGTTTTTCTTCTCCAGTTCCTGAGATAGCAATTTTGGTGAGAGGAAGAAAGATAAACGGCAACCCAGTAAAGTTTTTTGCGTTAGCAACCATATAGCAACATCTCATTCAAGATCAATGAACGATAAACGTGAACTGTTGTCGACTCTAGAAATCTATAGGTGCTGCCTAAGATTAATGAAAGATTTAAATGAAAGCTAATATAGCTCTGTGCTGTTCTGTGTTAATGCTAGTGGAAATTTTGCACTAGTTTTGCCTGATGAATTTCTTATATGATTGCCCCAACATTCTTTTAACGCATGTGGGTGGAAAAATCAAAGCATTTTAGTGAAACTCGTATATACCTTGCTCAATTTCCAAACATGCCCTTATCGAACTTGACATCATCATATTTCTGTGTTAGAAAACAATGCACCAGTCTTTGAAACCAATCATTAAGATGAAACTTTCATGAGCATCGATGGAAGAAGAAAGAAATTTGGAGTTCAGTAAAAAAAATTTCTATAGGATTCAATATTCGAACAACGTATGTGTGTGTGCGCACGTGCGTGCATGATGAACCAACCAGATGAGTGTATCAGTAAAAATGCATGCGACCTCTTTCCGCAAAGTTGTTTTGTAAAATCGACAAATTCATAAGGAGTGTCATTGTAAATCCAATGCATGAAACAAGTAATACAGATTCCTAAGGATGGTCTATGATGGAAGATAATGTCACAAAATCCAATAGAGACTTTACACCATATGCACAATTTAAAGCTAACATAAATGTTTAGTTACCGCTTCCATTCTTCTAATTTCATAGCGAGTACACTGAGCCACCAGATACACAGCTGTTACATGAAATAAGTTTTCAGATAGTGATGTGCAACCACACGAAAAACCAAATATCAAACATGATATGTACCCAAGGAAGGCAGCAACAAAAGAACAGTTGTACCAAAAGGAAATTTTCATCAACAGCTTCTTTAGAAAGTAATCGACGCCACACGCACAAATTAAGGCAAAACTAACCTAGACAAACGGAAAAAGGACAAAGGCTTTGCTGCAAAATGGTGATAATATACAAAATCCCTTTCCATTTTCGAGTTGCATTATTCGATTGTTCCACTGCTCGACCTAAGCATTAAACTTTTGTATTTCTTTGAACTCAATAGGAAAATTCTGACAATTAAAGACCCAAAAATACGGATGGTTTACTTAGCTTTTACCCATGCACCAACATTTACTTGGACTGCTGGACATCTTGATATCCTTCAACAACTTCAAATAAACAAGAACGCCACTAGCAAGTGCCTTAGCAACTGGCTTCAAACCCAATTTTCAATACCACCTTTGTCAACATTTGGTCCCTTTAATAAACTTTTCAATCCAACATTCTACCAGCTATATAAGGCCATCCCCAATGGAGAGAGCTAAAAAATGACCTAATTTGCCCAAAATTTGGAAAGCCAAAAAATGGTCTGATTTGTTCAAAAACTCATTTCCAACCGATGGCTAAACTATAACTCTATGGAGCCTACGAGACTATTATTTGGCCAAAATGGTGGCCAAATGTAACCCCCTTCTTAGCCCCTTTTGGAGCTCAGCTCATCAATTGCAATAACTGATTTTCAACAACTACATTTGAAAACATTTTAACGGTAATTTAACTAAATTAACCAATAAATTTAAAGTATAAACTTAAAACTAATAATTATTGAGGGGGCTATGTTTAGTTCATTTGGTTGAAGATGGTATATGAGCATGACCTGACATTATTTATTTTTAAATATTTTTTTCAGAAGCTGTAATTCTGGACGGACTATGTTTAACCATTTCAGTAGGAGATGGTCTAAATATCCTATCTACACATATGCCCCAATATGTTTGACGAAATGCCAAAGAGAAATGAAAACGACCCACAAGTTCCAATCAAAGGAAAAGCAATACGAACGTTCAGGACAATCAAAAGAACGAGAAAACAACGCTAAACAGCAGAAAATTCGAAGCAAAGCAATACCCAAATTTAATTTTCGAGGGGAGAGCAAGGTCGGCCCTGAGAATTTGGGGGCCCTGGGTCGAAGTGGGGCCCTAAAATTCTCTGCTCTCCTGGTTCTTTGTATATTGATTTGTATAAAAAAAGAATTTGCTAAATACATAAAAAGCTCTATTTTTACATCAAATATCATTAAAAATTAATATCAAAAGAAGATAAATATACAAACATTATTTAAATATTACACGATTCATGTTTTTAGACACAAATGTACTAAATGTTTGCAGTCAATTAAAGAACAATAAAACTTGATGATTAAGAGAGTTTTAACAATAAAACTTGATTGACAAGTATAATAAATTCAACGCCAATTATTTCTCTTGTGTTTTTTTTTTCTTCTAAAATCAATACCACACTAACGAATTGAATATTAAAATAATCCATTGAATAAAAAGTTATTGAAAAGAAAAATATATAATTCAAAGTTTTGATTACCTTAAAGTACAATCTTTAAGACCATATGATAATTGGTTTGAACATTCAATAGAAATGGAGAGAATGAGAAGTTGGTTTAAACATTCGATAGAAATGGAGAGAATGAGAAATTGAAAGAAAAAAGATTGCAACGAGACTTGAGTTTTATAAGTTTATTTGCATTTGGACAGATGGATTGACAGTAAATTTGAAAAACAAGAAAAATTAATAAAAATATAATGACTGAAAGGCAGCTTCGTGTTTCGAACTCAACACCCCAAAGAAAAATGAAGCCAACATTTCCACTGCACTAGCAAATGAATTATGATATTTTTTTTTTTTACTTTTTTTTTTATATTTATATGTTAATTACATGATATAACATTTTTTTAGAGGCCTTTCCGAAGTGGGGGTCCTAGGCGGGCACCTACTTGGGCTACCCTCAGGGCCGGGCCTGGGGGAGAGCAATGTGGCGGTCATGAAGTCGAGCTTCTCCAGCTGCTTATACTGTTCTTGGTACGAACTCGCACTCGTCTCTTGGACGTTGTTATTGTTGGCATTTGCAGGGGATTTGGCGCAAAATGTTCTCCTTGGCTGTAAGATTGTTGTGGGTTTGAAAGGAGTTAAATTTTGTAATCGCCTGAAAAGGAGAAGGAATTCATGATTAATCATTTATACCTTGTTTCCGGCTTAGAAACCAAACAAAGCAAGCCTATACGACAAAGGTTGGAAATTTAGAAAGAAAAAAAAAACGAAGGACATACAGATGAGTGGATGGATGGATCAAGTAGGCACCTGAGTAGCAGGGGAGTGATCGATCTCCTATTGGATTTCATTGCGGTTGTTGGAGTATTAAGGGTTTAACGGTTTAAAGTGAGTGATTGCTGAATTAGTGATAGGAGCATATTTATACAACTTAGTTAGTTCTTAGTTATTTTAGTATTTTAAGCTATTTTCGTGTGTTTGTAGGTCCAATTGACTAAAGTGGCAAGAAAGTGCAATTTGGAGCAGTTTTGGGCTTGGAATGGTTAGCACATGCTTGGAGCAAGGTGGATGGACGAAATTGAAGACCAAAGGAGGCTAGGAATCTGTTAAAGAGATGGAAGAAATTAATTCAAGACTTGGAAGAAAAGGAATCAACCACAAAGAAGGAAACATGAGTCAAACTTCCTTATTTTGACTTAGTCAATCCTAATCCTTTCCTACGTATGTTCCAACTATCAAGGGGGTTCCTAATTGATTTAGAACACTTAAATATAAGTTCTAGAAACCCTAATCCTAGTCAAAGAGGGATGCCGCACCAATTCTCCTTTCCCTTTCCTTGCCTTGCAAGGAAGTCACTTTCCCTCTCTCCCTAGGTGCTGCCGCAACTTTCCTACCCTTTTTCCCTTAGGATTCTGATTTTAACTACCCTTTTTCCTTGAGGATTTAGAGTCCAAATCTTTCCTAAAACATTTAATTAATGCCATGCCTTTTTCCTAAACTATATACACAATATGCCGCATAAAAAAGGAGAGATTCATCATTCATTCAACCATTATCCATCCTCTACCACCAGAATTCACACCATCCATCCACTGCAACCCAATTTCATACCCAAACATCCTTGTGCTGTAATTTTGCAAGGAAAAAGGAGAGAAGACCCCTAGGACGTGCTTGCCATTCAAGATTGGATTGTTGGAGCATTTCTAGGTGTATTCAATCTTTGTTTTCAATGTTTAATTTAGTTTTCTTTTTTAATTGTGAACATGAGGAACTAAACTTGTTTTAACTAGAGGAGACTTTGAAACCATGATTATATTTGCAATATGAATTGATTACTTCCAGTTGTGATTTCATAAATCGTGAATGCAATTTACTTAACTGTTGGATTAAGAACTTATTCTTGTATGTTGATTAAGGATGCATACTTAGTTTGCATGCATGAATTTGATGCTAGAATATAAGGGAGTTTCACATAATCGTTACAAACTTATATTCACAAGTAGTGAAGGTCGTTGGTCACGATCGTGTTAAGTTGAATTCCTGGCATGAGTATCATGATGTCATAGTTACGAATGTCTTGTCAATGCTTATGATTTTCACAAAGCTTAATGATCTTTGATTGTATCTCTATTATGCTGTTCATGTAGGGAACTATTGAAGAATAATTTGGTTGCCGATGCGTATTCCATCCAATTCAATGACTTAAGGAAAATCTGAGGGTTAATTAGTGATGTCACGGTTAATCTTGGGTGTTGAGGTTCATGGTTTATTGAAAAAGCAACTGGAAATCAATTTGTATGCAAGTGTGTCATGTGTGGAGAAGGACCTCTAGCTAGCTTATCACCCATTAATTCACCCAATTTCATATTAAACTTAGTTTGTTTCTGCAATTTACTTGTTTTTACTTCAAAATTCGTCAAAAACCCAATCCCCTTTACTTTGTTGTGTCAAATTAGCTAGAATATGTCCAATTTGTGTTTTTAAGTGTTTTGAGTCAAGTTAAAGTTAGAATTCGTCCAAAGTAAGTCCTAGTGTCTAGTTTGAGTCTTTTTGATTGTTTTGTGCTGTTTTGAGTCTCTTTAGTTTGTTTTGAGTCATATAAGTCTACTTAAGTGTTTTCTAGCCTAGTTTTATTTTTAAAGTTAGTTTTAAGTAGATTAGCAATCCCTCCTAATCCCCGGCCTAGAACGATCTCTACTTGCATCTTTACTATAATTGTCAACAAGAGAGTTTAATTTGAGTGTTAGTTTATAACACATCAATTAGAATTATGAGAAAATTGTTATAATGGTTCCTCAATATTAATACAATTGTAGTGTTTGTACTTCAAATAAAAATTCATGACTATTAGTCATTTGGTAAATTATATTTTACCACCTCAAGTTTGAGGTCTATTGAAATCTTATACAACATCTTCAAAAAATTTTACTTTCATACCTCACGTACTATTTTATATCAATATAATACATGCGTTACATTTTCCATTCATTGGTCCAGGTAAGGACTGACGTGGTAAAAAAATAATTTTCTATGCATTAAAAATATTACAATAATTTACCCTATTAAAAAGAAAATTGGAACCCAGGAACCCATTCCCCCTCCCCCGATCCACCTCCCTCTCCTCCACTCTCTTCAATTCCCCTCCCATCCAAAAACCCACCTCATCCCACCCCACCCCCACCTCCCCTGCAAACCCCCCATCCCACCCCCACCTCCCCAGAGACCTAACCCTAGACTACTCGCTCCCCAAATCCCTCGAATTCAACCACGTCAACGACCTCATGTCCCTCAACCCCTTCCCTCCTCCTCTCTCCTCAAACTCCTTCTTGAATCTCCGCCATAACAACGCTCCGCCCCCGCTATCTTCGCGCCTGGACCTATCTTGCTCCAATTGAAACCCTTTCGGAAACTCTATCGGTGACCTCCTCGACACGAATAAGCTCTTAGACCGGTGCATCAAATTACGATTGTGCCCTCCGCCATCTCTATTGTATCGATCAATTCCCTTCCTCCTATCGAAACCGTTGAACTCATGCTTCGTCCTCTTTCGTATAGTTCTGGACTTGTCGCTGAAGCCGACCGGTTCTCGATCGTTATAGGAGTGACTGGCCCTTTACAAGAAGTTAAGGTAGGGGTGGGGTGGGTTTTTTGGATGGGAGGGGGAGGTGAAGAAAGTGGAGGAGAGGGAGAAGGTGGGTCAGGAGGGAAGATGGGTTTCAGTTTTTTTTTTTTTTTTTTTTAATAAGGTAAATTATTATTATATTTTAAATGCATAAAAAATTATTTTTTTTGTCACGTGGCACAAATGTGGCAGCCATGTTAGTTTTTAATAAACCAATGGATGGAAAATGTAACGGATATATTATATTGAAATCAAATAGTACGTAAGGTATGAAAGTAAAATTTTTTGAAGATATTGTATGAGGTTGCAATAGACCTCAAATATGAAATGGTAAAGTTTAATTTACCCTTAGTCTTTTTTTTTTTTGGACAAAGACTATTAGTCATTTAATTCATCAAAATGTGCAGCATGATCATTTTTGTTAACTCCGTCAGAACTTTCGTTAAATAGGTCATGGTGGAATGACTATTGCTACAATTGGGTTGAAATTGAGGGATTATTTCTCCAATTGGACTAGAATTAAGGGACAGTTACTATAATTGAGTTAAAGCTTAGGGATCATTACTACAATTTTTTTATTTTATTTTTCATATTTGTCCCTTAATTTAGTCTCACATGTGTGGCACGTGACTAATTTTGACGAAATTTTGATAGACTTGACGAAAAGGACTATAAATGAACATTTTGATGCATTAAGAACTATTAGTTATGAATTTTTAGTTGAAAGACTTTTGCTCAAATTCAGTCAAAATTGAGAGACCATTGACGTAGTTACTCTATAATTCTGGAAGGAACCGGATCCCTTCCTGAGCATTGTAAACTAAGCTTCATGAGCAAAGGATCCGAATCGTTGAAATTTGATTTAACGGCTACAATTATTATAACTTTTAGAAGGACCCTCTATTTGTAGCCGTTGAATTAAATTTCAACTGCCCGAATCCTTTGCTCAAGAGACTCAGTTTACAAAACTCAGGCGAAGGGGATCCGGTTCCATTCTGGAATAAAGGAGAGAGGAGAGTGGTGGGGCAGGAAAGAGAGAGTGAGAGAGTGGTGGGGCAGGAAAGAGAGAGAGAGAGAGGGTGGGCCAAAGTTTGTCACCCGTTGGATTCCCACTGATGGCCCAGATTAGTTTAGTCGCGTACATTTTGTGATCGGACAGACGCAAAACCCTCCCATCGAACAAACAAATTTAAGAGCTGAGCGACAGTAAGATTTCAGCAGCAGCAGCAATGACTGATTCTTCATCATCCCCTCTTTCTAAGTCCTTCGTCAGTGAGCATTGGGAGGGTTACAAGGATTTCTGGTGCGAACGATTCTCCTTCCTCACCAACTACTCCAAGTTCGTTAAGCGGGACAAGCCCCTTCCTCTCTGGTCCGACTCCGACGTCGAAGCCTTCATTGCTCTCGACCCTGTTCATGGCCCCGCTGTAATTTCTCACCCTTCTGTTTTTTTTCGTTCTTTTCAGTTTATAGGTGTTAATGGTAAATGGGTTTCTTTGATTTCGTGTTTTTGTGACCCCTGTGGATCTGGGTGTTTGTATTTTTGTTTTCCTTTTGATCTTTTTGCTGTTTTGTCATCTGGGTATTTGTTTATGTTTCTCCTTGATTTAATTATTGAGATGTGCCCCTTTCTGTCATTGATGTTCGAGTGCTCAATCTCTTGGTGGAGGTGTGTCTAATTTCTGGATGTGAAGGTTTTGTATTTTCTGTTTCCGAGATGATTTTGGTTTTGAGTTGGTGTTATTCATCTGGGTATGGTTTTTCTGCGGCTTTCGTTTCATTATTTTTTCACATACTATCTATGCTTGGTGCCTTTCAGATTACTATTCAGTAAGGTTGGTGTTTTAATGTATGGATGGTCTACGGGCGGGGTGTGTAAATTGCTTAAGGGAAAACAATGAATGAAACTTCAGAAACTTGCACTGGATTTGATTCGACACTGTTGCTCTTTTGGCATGAAAGTAATCAAAATAAGAGAGACATGCACTGTGTTTGGTTTTGAATTGTAGTTCAATGATTTGTTGAAGAGAAAAAATAACGACTCTAAAATCAAACAGAGGCGCATGAACTAGTGGAGAATGCAAAGAACTATGTGGCTGGAGAGCTCTTCTTTTTAATTTTCTGTCATGTATTCTAAGATTCTTGATTTTCAAGAAATTTAGTCTAGTTAGCAGCGCAAGCAAGGAAACAACTAACCAGTCTTGACCGTGCAAATTGTTGAGGTTCACTTCCAAAACGTGTGATGTATTTCCAGTTTGGAAAAAGAAACACGTCTAAATTGCTACTCTTCTTTTGGTGTCTTTCCATATGTCTAGTTATGCCGCCACAGACCTCAGCCTGAAGTGCAGCAAAAATGAAGTGGAAAAGCATATCAGATTTTCTTTACCTTTTATAATTTAATTTTCTTGTTTATTCTTTCTCCAACTGCTTAAGTAGGGGCTTTGGATTTAGTGTCCTAGACAAAAATGACTAATTTCCAAATGCAATGAAATACTATTTGGTAATCTTGACTCTGCCGGTGCTTCCTATCTTTGTATGTTGTATTATATTATTGTCCGGTAACCTAGTTATTGTACCTGTAATCGTCTTATGGTTCAATGATGCATTTCTGTACAGCTAAGATGGTCAGTTTTTTTTAAATAGCTGAGTTAACATGCTTTTATTTTTCAGCTGAAGACTGCTAGGGAAGCAGTGAAATTTGGTCTTGCAGGAAGTGTTATTGGAGCAGTATCAACTGCTGGCTTTGCATGGAGATATTCAAGGAGTTTACATGGTAACCTGTTGCCTCTTTCTTTTAGGTGTTCACTTTTTACGATTCTATATGAACAAGTACTGCACAGGGATGTGATGTGTTTGGTTTCTTGTTTTTACCTTAATAATTAAGCTGGCTATCAGTTGAATCTCTAAACATTTCAACATTTCTTCAATTCTGCTTGATATTTTTTTGTTTTAAAGTCCAACATTTTCTTTAAACAATGCTTCAGTGGCAAAAAATGCTACGCATGAAAATGCTAATTCTTATAACCGGGTACGATACAATGGACTGACATTCATTTCTATCAGTGGCAAAAGAAAATATCATATGAATAGTTCATTATTTCTTCCTGACGTTTCTTCTGTTCCACTTGGCCTGCATTGTTTATCTATATCCTGGAAATAAATTTGGATATACTTAGTACACATATTTTACCCTTTCCTTTATTGGTTTCCGTATGCTTCTGGTGTACATGGGTGTGCCATGTTTTCAGTAAAGTTACTTTGTACTGTCCTGTAATCTCATGGTCCGTAAGCAGTGGAAGAAATTTTCGTCATAATCTTGTTTTTTGTATTGTTTTCTGTTTTAACTGTTCCCCTTTCCAACAGCCGGACTTCAAGTAATCGGTAGCCTTTGTTGTTGAAAACCAATTAAGATTAAGTGTTCATGCTTTGGTAGATAATCATAAAGCAGTGGAAGGTTATGATCCGACTATTTCTTTGTCTATCTGAGTGAGCTTCTGGTCATGTATAACATTATAGATTGTGAAGATGTTAGTAACATGTCATGGTAAAATCAACCGCATTCCGACCTTACTATGTTGTATTGTAGCAGATGAGTGATATTGCTTAGTGACATCAGTCTGCATTTTAATTTCAAATCTTCGTGTTTGAATCAGAATTATAACAATGGACGATAGGTTTTAGAAATCTGGTTTATGAACCCTTTTGCATTTTACAGGTGCTGGACTGTCCCTTCTTGCTGGAGGTGTTTTTGGTTGGACATATGGACAGGAAGTTGCGAACCATTGGCTGCAACTTTACAGGTTGGACACCTTGGCTGCACAAACCAAGTTCCTCGAGTGGTGGCCGGAAAAGAACGAGAGATCGTCTTAAACTTGGCTTCCTCTCGGAAGCAAAGATAGTAACCAATGTTCCAGTTTTACAATAAGAATCAAACACACCTGTGTTGACAAATGTAATGGGAGAAATTTGGGTTCACTTTTAGCTTTGTCGAGATATGTTTTACTTTGGGCTCCTTTCTCAAAATCAATCCGATAGCACTGCAACACTTTGTGGTCTTTTAGCTTCTACTTCCCTATTCAGTTTGAACTCTGCAAATTTCGATGGATTTTGTGTGCTGAAAATGTTGCTGTGTTAAGGTAGACGTTATGGATGCTATGTACGTTATCTTGGAAGCGCGCTTTATTTGTGATAGGTATCACAATTAAAACGTGCCTCATTTGAGAAGTTCCAGACTCCGCCACTTCAGAATATGACTTTCACTTCCCATATCCTGGGGCAAGATCATAAAAGAATCGAACAGATTATGTACTGGTTGGGTACTGAGGTGTTTTTATAAAGTGGATACAAAAAAAAGCTGAACTTAAAAAGGTGTTTGGTAAACACTTGAAAACAGCTTATTTTCACAGTTGTGGGTGAAAAAAAAGCTAAAAACGTGAAGCAGCAAAAATGAGTTTATTCTCACGGCATAGCAGAAATAGTTTTTTTTCAAAGCACAGCAATACCAAACCAGCCATATGCCTCGTCTTCATCTAAGAAAAATATGGCAGTATAATGGACTCTTCTTATTCAATGACAACCATAGTATCAAATAAACGATGACTGAGGAACTTGGATAAGATTTGTACTATCACAAAGTAAAACGTAGAAGAATGATAAACCATATTAAGCTGTTTTCTTTTACGAACGATAATGTTCATGAGTTAAATTATTAGTTGTAAGGGGTGAAGGGGATCAATGTAGATCGAATCCACATTAGCATGATTTCTTTCCACTACTAACGTCACAGTCATGCTGAACTTACAAGCTAAATGGACCAGAAGACATGGACTGTACAAAGAAAACTTTCATGCCTCTTAGTTTTCAAAATAGTAAAAAGTCAACAACAAGAGTACGAAGAGAGTCTCTCATGCCAAAGTAGATACAACTACCTGCAGGCTGCAGAGTGGGGAGGACGAATTCCGCAGAGTTGGGAGCGAAGACCATTCAAACAGAGGTAACCTGAGAAGCTGCATGAGAAATAGCACAGCAATTTTTACTCGGCAAAATGGGGGCACCTTGACATGAATGAGAAGCATGTTTCTACTGAAAGTTTCTTGTGGTCTACTCTTGTATTACTGTTTCGCTCTTTTCAAACATTGCTTTTTCACGGCAAACACATGCCATTATGCCAAACAAGAATTTTACTTGGGTTTGTTTTCAAACTAGATGACTTTTATTGATTGTATTTTTTTTAAGTTTTGTTCTCCGTTCGATATGTCAAATTAAACTATTATTTGTCACATTATTTACTTTTCAAAGTTGTGATAAATATTTTAGAACAAAAAACAATGATGAAAAAATTTATCAATCACTTAAAAATGAATTTGAAGCTGCTATTAATATTTGACAGTAACCACATTTACACTCATTTCATGTAATAGCACATAAGAATTGGCATTTCGATTAAAAAATACTAATGATGTCTTTTTTACTATTATTTTTTATGTGAATTTTTACATTTCATTTAACGATGCTCGAAGCCTCGAAAAAAATGATTTGATGGTAACGCAAGGAAGGTTGGGTGGTTAGAGGTTAATTTAGCTTAATCGTAGCTATTGGTTTTGCTGCTGTTCCAGCCGTACATGCAAAAGCACCTTTTGCGAAAATTGTTTCATCGGTTGAAAGCGTGGGCTGAGCTAATGACATCTTTCACAAGTCAAAAACGTTTTGGGCCTTCTACACAGCTCATTTCTTTCAAAGCAATTGCCCAAATATCATTAACTCCAGGTTTTAAGTATTGAGCTACATCTCTGAGCCCAATGACATTTTCCATGTAAATAAGAAGTTTGAAAATCAGAATACCAAATGGACAAACAAACAAAGTATGAAATTACGAATATTATAAAAAATAAAAAAACGAGAATGCTGAAACTGGTTATAAACTTAGGGTTTAAGTTACTTATTCTCAACTGAATCACAAAACGTCTATTTATAATAAACCCACTATAATCACTAAGCAAGAAAACAAAATCTCATTCTAACGAACTAGGCTAAAATTCAAACAATAAAATAAACCTAAATGTTAATAGAGTGATTTTTGTACAACCATTTTGTATATCTGGACACTCACAAATTGTTTTATTTTAATGGCCATTGTATCCCATTGTTAAAGTTAGTAAAATACACAACTAAGTTAGGTTTCGGAGCCAAATCATTTTAGGGTGTTGCGGCCACCAGCCAACTCTCTCTCTCTCTCTCTCTCTCTTGAGTGGTGCTTTAGCTTATAATAAAAGAAGAGAAAGTCATTGTTTCTCCAATTTTTTAATGCAATGGGTCTCCATGGCTTTTGCCATCAATTTTAAGAGTATTGATGTGCACAAATGTCGGAGGACCTTCAAAAATGAAAAGAAACAAAGTTTCAATTAGTAAGAAAGAAAAATGAAGGATGAGAACCTAATGTATCCTATTGTAAATTTATATGGGTGTCTTAGAGAAATATATAAATTTAAATATGTGCCCAAAAATAAAACTTGATGTAAAGTGCTATTAAAATAAAAGAAAGTGCTTTAGTGAAAATGTTTCTGAAACCAATCATTAGGAAAAATCTGAGTAGATCCTAGAAAAGCACTTGAAGTGCTTCCAGCAAGAAGCACATGTATGATGTTTCTTCCAAAAAACACTTAAAGTGCTTTTAGAATCCAAAATTTCACCAAAAGCGCTTTCAGTCATTCTAAAAACACTTCTAAACGAGCTAAAAGTTGGTAAGCTTGTTTGGAAGCAAATACTCAATTGCCTCCTAAATAGCCAACAGTTTCTCATGAGTTCATTTTGACTAGTGACGAATTTGTTGCAACAACTTCGAGCGATTGTGGTTACGACATAAGCCTACCGAGCAAACTTCCACACAACATGGGCAGCGGGGCAACGTTTCAACAATGTACCAAGAGTCCGGGATGAAATTAAGGATCGAAACACGCCTCAAACAACCATCTTCCTCTCAACTAGCATAAGTTTCATCATATTCGTTCGGACCAAGGTTTTTTTCCCTCAAATGATATGTCCCACCTTGCAACATCCAGTGATTGTCAAGCGGGAACCACGAGACCAGTAGGGATTTTGGAAATCACTACTGATCTCGTATTTCCCGCTGATAGACATTTCGACAACCTTGGTAGAACCGGAATCGGAACCATAAAAATAAATACAAAACCTATTAAGGAAAATTAGGGTATGGCTCACGGCAAGCAAACCAGGTACAGGCACGACAACAGCTACTACCGACAACCAAATTTTGGGCATGGGCAAATACATAGAACCCCTATAAGTTTAGGGCAAGGGCAAAGACACAGAGACGTCGTAAGAGCCTTATTACAATGGCATCAGTGTAATATATAGGATTTACGTAGTGTTATATAAGAAGAGAATACAATATGCAACTAATCTCACATCTCAAATCCAATAGGGATGCCTAATCATCCTATGGTATACTATTTAGTTCAACAATGATCACTTTGGCACCGACTAGCTCGTCAGCGCATCCTATTGACACTTGCACTAGCCCAATGATAGACATTTCGACAATTTGATGCCGTTGTGCATAGTGCCACAACATTAAGTTCAGTCCTTACATAATTTGGCAGAAGAATGAAAAATATTCAAAGGACCTACAACACGAAGAAAATTACTGTATAATCCCATATAAAAGTGAATTGTCTACATGTATGTATGTATGATTCAAAGACACCTAACATGTACGACAGAAGTATATTCATAAATAAGTTAAGGATAAAGCAATTTACAAGCAGATAATGGCATTCAGGCTTAAAAAGTAGAGCATTTACTCTATGGTTTCTTTATTCTGAATCAGATCTTAATCAGCAAACCAATGCTCTTTCCAAACGTAAACAGACCATCCACTGGAAGACGATGACGATGGCAAAGCATCATATCCACAGCGCTCTGGTAGCTCAAAGGGGCGATTCCACCTGCATTTAAATGAGTAGCTTTTTGTAAGGTCGTGGTTTACCAAGCAAATCAAATCTTTGGCAGACGAGACAACAGAAGATACTGTAATCACTAGTTAACAAAGATGGCAAAAGTAATGAACTCAAATATACAGAGTAAAAGGCCAATAAAAGAATGAAAATCCTCACTCTTCAGTAAGAGGCAGCACATCTAAATGTTGCATGATATGGTAAAAGTCGCATGTTAGTCATGGGGTTCATTAAATAATTCCCTCACGAAGGGCAGAGATTTTCCCAATAAAAGGTTCTTTGTTTCATTTTTTACCATCACCAGGTGCTTGGTGCAATTTGCAATCAACTAAAGTCTCAATCATTGCACAACAATCAATTCAACGGTCGCTGAGTTCTGACTGTCCTTGAGGACCTTATCCCTAACCTGTGTTTGGATGAAAGACTTCAAAGTTACACAGAACATAGGCTGATCCCTACAAAAAGTAGATAAGAGGAATATGAAATGACAAGAATCAAGACTCGATACACTCAGAGAACTATCAAATAACTCCTTCAAAGGTGTCATTTTGTAAGTCCCTTGTTTACCGTCTTTATACTGCATTTAGCGTTGTAGTGCTTGAGTAGTGCATTGTGGTTGTCTAAAGATCCTTGGTACTTTGAAAGTCCCTCGCCCAGCACAGGGTAAGAGACCTTGAAACTTGGGTCAAATGCCACTTGTCCATGGAAATCGAAGCGAGGGCTTTAAGTAACTTGGTATTTGATTTCATTAACAGTACTCCCATAGATCATTCCTGATATAGATATCTAGGAAAAATTATCAACTCATATACATGTCCTGCAAATTGAGGATAACCAGATTCCAAAGATGCAGTCACTTGAACAATCCATGGACAGGTAGAGCGAGAGAGGAGATTCAGATCAGAGACTGACAGGTGTGTCACAGATTTGGTGGTAGTGGATTTTGACATTTCCTTTTCAGGAGTTACACGGAACAAGAGTCATAAATTGGACTGATATGCGACGACCATAGCATTTTGATGGAAAAGATTAGATTCTGAGAGAAAAAGAGTAAGGCGAAGTGAGAACGTGCATGAATGGTAAAGGTAAGTGACCTGGGGGTACAGAGTGAGCAAAGTGAATTGGTTGAATTGATCAACCACATTTAAGAACTGAAATTTGTCCAATCAACACCCAATGAGATTATGGTTCAATAAGAAGACAGCGCCCACAAGGATTGATTGCTTGACTAATTATGTGACTGGACCAGGCTGCTAGCTCATAGATCTATGCAACTATTCATATGCATTAGTTTTCAACAATTATAAGCTCATCCAAATTTCACACCTAAGACCATCCAAAATATAAAAACAATAGTTACACTTGAATACAGGAAACACAGCACCACAGACGCGAAATATATGATGCTAAACCATATGTAAGCTGTAGCACATTCATCAGCATAAGATGTTAACTGAATAGGACCGGGATAGATTGCGCAACTAATACAACAATGACACCCCTTCTTAAATTTGGCCCTAATTCATCTTAAATAAAACCATGCAATACACGAAGTTGATGAAAATGAAAGGGACAGAGAAATCTACTAGCTTGTGTATATTTTGGTGTGCATAAGTTTCAAAGATGAAGCATATCAACTACTCTTAAGGTATACAATCACATTCCATCCACAAACACCAAAAAGCCATCCGACTGTTAACCGATTACCAAATTGGCCTCCAACTTATGAATACCCCAGAGCTCTACAAGACCGATATCTTAGCTTTCATTACTTGGAACCTTTATAAATCTTAAATTGTTTTTTCTAGCCCTTCCAAAGGTAGTTGCTGCAACCTTATTCAAAGGTACATTACTACATTAACAATGAATGACCTCTAACCTTAAGAAACACAAAATTCCTCAGCTCGAGATGCAAACCACAAGGTTCCGCATTCAGCTAAGAGAGCTTCTGGTGAAGAATATTTGTTTTTACCATGATACTTGAAGAGAAAATGCTCCTATATGCAGGAACATCATTAGTGCAGCTTCTGCCAAGGAAACAGTCCACACAAAAAGGCATGTATAGAATACACATAAGATCATAAAACAACCTTTCACCTCCCTCGCACAAATCTTGAACTCCCAAAGAAATCCATGCCTATTTCTTCCACACTACCAAAAAGTTAAAATATGAAGCTACAATACAGAGAAAAAAAACACAAAGACAACACACAAATCAAACACCAATATAATTCATCAAGATAAGCAAATAAATACACTAACCAACTTGAGAATAAGACACGAGACTCATGCAAAATAACATGGAGACCCGAAAGACGAGAAAAATAAACTAAATAAAAACAAAAGAACATTACAGGAAAAATATCCAAGTGGATTGAGAAAAGGAAAACACAAAAACTACATATCGAGTTCTTCAATGCATTCAAAATTCAATTCATAAGACTTACCTTATATAAAGAACTTCTTTGAGTTAATGCAATTGCTGAAGAATGCCTAATTTGAACTAGAACCTGCAGTACAGGCAGCCAGTCTATTATGGTCATTTACAGAATTTTCACCACCCCTTTCTGATATCCGCCGATTGTCTGATTCAGAAACCGGACTGTCTAAACTATTTGACACAGAAGCCTCATTAATTGTGTTATCGTCTTTTGTTTCCAGACGCTCCATCATGCGTGATACAGTTGCGATCCCTGCGTTAACCTCTCTTTTAACTTCTGAACCAAGATCTGCCATGGAAGCATTGCGAGAGAACAACCTCTCCTTCCAACCTCTTGTGCTCTTTGAAATTGACTCTTTGTATCTAATTTAAAATGAGAAACAATACTTGTGATGTTTATGAAACATGAAAGACTTGTCTTTTTTTTTGGCGGCAGAAGAGGGGGGGGGGGGTGGGTGGGTGGTAGGGGAGGGGGTGACTCATTCAGAAGGAATAATTAAATGGCAAAGGTTAAAGCATATTAATACCTCGTTGATACTGCATTAAATCGAGATTTCAGAGATTCTGAAAAGGATTGCAAGTCTGATGGTCCAGCTCTATCTTGGGTACTTGGGGATGACTGACTAGGCGACCTCCTAAAGGAAAATGATGATAAGATAACAAGAAATATGTGATTTTATGCACCAACATATATCCTGACCAAACTGAAGAATCGAGTACCTATTGCTCATGGAAGACCCTTGTTGATTCAGAGCCGAATTACTAGATCCAGATGCTGATGCAGAAACAGAACCAGATTGTGACGAATGTACGGGAGTGGTTGCTTGAGAAGATTCTTCCCTATTCATAGGAGGCGACGGGAAAGTTACTGCAATTGAAGGAGATGGTTCACCTTCTCCCATCTGATCAGGGGAAGAAGAAGCATGAGCCTGAGGTGCATTAGGATTGGTAGAGAAGACCAGGTATTGTGGACGACCATGAGCTGATGACCTATTCCTTTGTCCTTCCCTTCTAGCAATGTGGCGTGCCCGACCCATTGCGGCAGCAGCAGCTAAGTGCTGGATTATACGCTCTTCAAGTTCAGCATCATTTACACCCATAGGTAACTACATCAGGAGCAAAATTGAAAAGAAAAAAAAAAAAAAGAAAAAGAAAAATTGAATAAGAATCTCCTGTTTTGGTAGGTTTATACTACATTTGACTTAATGATGATAAAGAACAAAGATAGAATACAAACATGCTGCAACTCAAAATCCCCAAGAGTTGGATGATGAAATATTGTGGTATTTCGAGGTGGATTCGACCTAATACTTCTCTCTTGTTCTACTGCCTCTAGCAGTTCCTGGCTGTAAAATTGTAAATACACACAAAATGAAGACCTTATCATTATCTAATAGTCATATGAATCAATGGAATATCAGGACCGGTAACAAAATACTAACCCAGTGGGATCCTTCAAGCTGATGGGTTGCCAGCACATAGGGCATTGGGAGCTTCGCTGACACCTACAATTGAAACGAAATTTCAATTTTTGAGAACTTTCAAAATCATCAATATAAGATCAGTTGCTAGAACAGCCACTCATTCAATCATTTTTTTCCCATTTGACATTGTCCTAATTCTTTTGAAATGTTAATATAACTCACATTTTTAAAACCCACGTTTTAACTACTTATTCCTCACTTGCCTTCCACTGGTTTCTCGGGCCCAACAATGGTCCCAACCTAGCACTGTCCCTCCTCCAATTAGTCACCTTTGTTCTAAAGAAATTCGTAGATTTCTAATTATAACAAAAAAGGAAATGAAAAGTTGGGTCTTCAGGAGCATCATACTTAATCTTCAGTTCTTCACCAAGAAATTAAAAACGCCATTACAGTTTTTTCCTTTCAGGTTCTCTCAGCTGAAAAAAAAATGGTTTCACTCCTTTTCTTTCTTTTTGTCTCAGTTTGTTATCTTCTCCTTGGTTGTTCTTTCTAATTTTTTATATTTCTCTTTAATACATTGTGTGTAATTGACTGAGCATTCCTTCTATTAATTTTGCTTACTATTAAGTGACAGCAGTCCGTTGCTTTTGTTTGGAATATAGTTTTATGTGTAATTAGAAAGAAATACAGAAATGAGTTCTGGCTTTAGAAAAAGAGGGGAGATGGGGGATGTAAAAAGCTACAAACGGAGGAAGAGCAGATGGAAATTGAGTAAATAAGTAGGAAAAACATGGTTCTTAAACATACAAGGTAAACTAACATTTAAAAAATTAAAAGGACAGCCACGTGCCAATTGGGCAACAAGCAACTGAACGAGTGGGTGTTGCAGCAATTGATGCTAGCATTGCTCTAAAGATAATAGGGAACTGCGCAGGAAACAAGCTTCTGGCATCATCTAAACTTCAACCGAAACATCCAGGGACCATATTTGCGTTAATATAATCCATTTATAACCAATAAAAGTTTCATTATATCTCTTGATAACCATAATAATTGAAAGAAATATTTATTTCGTAATAGAAGCTAGGATACAGATTTATACCCTTTTGGTTCAAATTACACCCAGGTCATTATTGTACAAGTTGATTAAGGCATGGTGTTGGTAGTACAAAAGTCAAAGGTATAACTAGCTTGACTATCATTATAAATGTAGAAATTAGACTAGATGTGAAACTACTATGAAAAGACAGTATGATCATTCTAATCTATTCCTACAATGCTTAAGGCAACCTTTTGAGTACCTCAAGGACGAAATGGGAACAAACCTATGTATCAATACAGAACTATTTAATCACACTTTCAAAAATACAAAGGGACCAGATGAGATTTCATGTGAAGTATCTTTGAAGGCTTTAGCAACTAGAATTGGAGTAGCTATTATGCCAATTATAACATCACATTTCATAATTTTCACGAAATTCAATCGCATTGAGTCCCAACTCCTTTGTTTGGTAAATTAGGAGAGAGGAGGAGGAGGAGAGGAGAGAGAGAGAGAGGGGGGGGGGGTGTGCGGTAGTGGGACAAAAGATTAAAATAACCTACTTACTTATTTCAATTTTAATACCGCACAGAGTATTTCCTAGAAGTAAAGATGTGGAACTAGAACAGAGTTGGCTAAAGGATTCTGACACAAATGCAATGCCCACATCTTATCTTTATTTCCACAGTCGCAATATTTGGCTACCCTAATATCCCGTGTTATAGTTCATACGCGTTTCATGAACAAGAATAAGAAAATCTAACTATCATATCAACTACAAAAAATTACAAACAAAAAATGAGCATTAAATACTAAAAAATGGATATCAGAAAATACCACTCAAGAATGCACTGAAGATGAAATTCATGCTTGCAACCGGTCAACTGCATAAAGCAAATGAGGATTGATTAAAAGGAAAACCATAAAAGAAAAGATAATAGCGTCTAAACTATTTATATATACCGTAGAAGGATCGTTGTCACAGAAGGCCTCCAGGCATATACTGCAAGCATCATCACAGGCTTCCTGGATTCCTCCCTCCACAAAAGCTGCTGCTGACGTCAAGTGGGCATCAGATTTGTTGGTCTCTTCTCCTCCCGGAGCCGCCTGTAAAGCAAACACTACAAGCTTAGAAAATACGATATATACAAATTCACATCACTTCTTTTCCTCGGGGACATAGAAACTAAACAACGAAGGTGAAGCATTAACGCAATCGACCCGGTGTAGTTCAAAAATTATGTACATAATCAAATAATTTACAACAAAAGAAACCGGTTTAGCACTGGGAGGCCAACACTAAGAACCATAAATAATTTAACCCACCAAGATAAATAGATCAAAATTCATAAAATCAAATTACGAGCTCTAAATATTGCACATAATCCCCTTGAATTCAGAATTAAAGCAACCAAGTACACTAAAACACGTGATAACCAACAATCAGAAGAATCCAGAGTCAATCAAACAGTGTTGGATACCTAATTTAAGAGGGAATATCACAATTCATGAGATTCTGATATTTTCTTCCAAATGGAAAATTATTTCAATCAACTCAGGGTCAACCAAAACAGTGAAATCACAAAAGTATTTAATTACCTCCATGAAAAACTGTAAAGTCAAGAAAGTGTACAGCCAAAAAATGGATCTTTGATTGTAGAGATGAAGTTGGAATTGGGATTAAGGGGACAGCGAAAACCCTAGAGAGAGGGAGGGAGGAGGGAGGGAGAGAGAGAGAGAGAGAGCAGAATGAGTTTGGTTGCTAATGAGTTTCCCTTTCGGTGTGCTTTCTGCTTTGTCTACTTATTCATCGTGACTTCTGAGCGAGCGGAGACTTGACCATTCAGTCACCACAGTGCTCACACGTGTCCTTCCCACCGAATCTCTTTGACGATTATTTCTAACTCATTTTACCCGCCACTCCCTTCGCCCTTCTCGATCTCATAATTTTTCTTGGCAAATTGGTTGTTCTGACCAAATTTCACAAGTTGGTTGTTAAAATTATCCTTTACCTATACATTTGTTATTTTTGTTGTGGTGTATTTTATCTGACAAGGAGAGAGAGGGCCGACGGCAAGGAGAAAAGAGAGAGATGTGTTTGTAGAATTGTAGGAGAATGTATGTGGTGTTATCCCTCCTACATTGTGTCTTTATTTATAGTAATAAAATGAGAGAAGATATTTCTTCTTCCCAAGGAATATAAGATACAATAGGAAATGATAATTAGAATTAAATCTAATCTAGGATTTACATAATCATACTTAAACTATGAATGTTTACAACACTCCCCCTTGAGTGTGTAAATACTCAAGGTAGATTTAACATCATGCAGAAGTTGAGGAAGTCGACTCATTGGCACTGATTCTAAGGAACAACGCTTATTCTCAATAAGGTAAGAACTTGCATAAGTAGTAAGTCTCACTAAAAAAACCCTAAGGCTAAGGCAAAAGCTCGAGTAAGGACAAAATCCATAGTCTAAGGAAAAATGCCTGAAAGATACAAAGTCAAAAGAAACGTCTAGATGACGTCATCAAGGATATGACCAGCCTAATGTGGGTGCCTCGTTAAAACCTAATTAGGTAACAAAAACATAGCGGGAAAAATGCTCCTAATCATAGGGAAAAAGAGTACATTAAGATCAAGCAAGTATCTATAGGATACTCCCCCTGAGTTTGACATAATTCCAAAGAGAAATAGCAAAGTTACAACTCATAAAGTTTATGCATACTAATTTCATGAACAAGCTTCTAAAACATGGTCTTCGGCAGTGATTTGGTGAAGAGGTCGGCCAGATTGTCTTGTGAACGGATTTGTGTGACTTCAATCTTTTGATGCTCTTGTTGTTGATGTGAAAAGAAACACTTCGGCGCAATGTGCTTGGTGTTGTCTCCTTTGATGTAACCCTTCTTGAGTTGTTCGATGCAAGCTGTGTTGTCCTTCAAAGATCGTCGTCGAGACATTAACGACGGGATAAAGATCACAGGAGCTTCGAATACGGGCCCACTACTGCTCTTAACCAAAAGCATTCCCAAGTTGCTTCATGTAAGACAAGAATTTTAGCATGGTTAGACGAAGTGGCAGGTAAGGTCTAGTTTAGTTGACCTCCAAGAGATTGCGGTGCCTCCAACGGTAAAGACATAACCCGTTTGAGAGCGCGCCTTGTACGGATTAGATAAGTATCTTGCGTCGCATAACTAACAAGGCGAGAATCGACTCGAGGAGCATAGGGTGTGGCACCATTCGAGGATTCGTAGGGATAGAACAAACCTAAATCTGTAGTACCCTTAAGGTAACGGAAAATGTCTTTCACGCCAATCCTAGTGTCTGCGTGTTGGTGCATTATTGTATCTTGCCAAAAGATTAACAGCGAAAGAGATGTCGGGTTTAGCGCATTGAGCTAAGTACAATAAACGCCTATCACACTAGATAAGGAACTTCAGGCTCCAAAATCTCTTCATCATGCTCCTTCGACTAAAAGGGATCTTGTTTTGCATCTAGCGAATGAACTATCATAAGAGTACTTGAAGGCTTTGCTTTATCCTTATTAAAGCGGCGCAACACCTTTTGGGTGTAGTTCGATTGATGTACTAGGATTCCATCCGAACAATGCTCTATCTCAAGACCGAGACAGTATTGAGTCTTACTTAGATCTTTCATCTTAAATTTCGACTTCAGGTGCGCGTCAGTTCTCGTGAGCTTGTTCAAGAGTTCTTATAAGATTCATGCCATTGACATTTACTGCAACAATCGCAAATCCAGAATGTGACTTCTTAATGAACACATAAGGGCATAGTTCATTGTTCCCATATCCCTGACTTGTCAAATACTCATTCAGACGGTTGTACCACATTCTTCCGGATTGTTTCAAATTGTAGAGTGAACGCCTGAACCGAATTGAGAGCATGTTCCAAGGTTTAGAAATATTTGAACCAATCAATGTAAGTCATTCAGGAACTTCATATAGATTTCCGTAGCAAGATCTCCATAGAGATACGCGGTTACTACGTCCATCAGCTACATATCCAGTTTTTCGGAAACTACCAAACTGATAAGGTAGTGAAATGTAATCACATCCATAATGGGTGAATAAGTTTTGTCATAGTCAATCCTGGGACGTTGTGAGAAGCCTTGTGTAACAAGACAAGCTTTGTAATGCACAATTTCGTTCTTCTCATTATGCTTTCAAATGAAAACCCACTTGTAGCCAAGCTTCATATGTGGAGGAGTATGAGCTACATGTCCAAACACCTTACATTTTGCAAGCGAATCGAGTTCAACTTGGATTGCTTGTTTCCAATTTAACCAATCAGTTCTACGTCGACATTCATCGCGGTTCAATGTCATCGATCAACATGATCTCAATAGCTACTACAAATGCTAATGCATCGTTGACAATGATCCTATTTCTATGCCACACATTATCTAAGCTAGCATAATAAACCGAAATCTCATGATTCTCAGGATGAGGATTCGTCTCTTCAAAGATGCTTCCATAATCTAGAATTTCTTCATGAGTTGGGTAGAATGATTAAGCGATAGTCGGATTCATGGTAGGTTCTTTAGGACTTTGTGACATGGTTTTCCTCTTCCAGGGGTGTGAATCCTTTAAACCAAGGGGTCTGCCACGTTTTTGTGTAAGGGCAGATGATTGGCTAGCCAATAATGTACGTGGATCACCAAAATTGGTGTCTCGGGCTTTTAGGAGGGCAATCTGTCGTACATTTCATACATCCATTTTTGTAGGCATATTCGCAGCTAGAATATGTGATCTTGTCATGCGCGCTAGATCAGTGAAAGCATCTGGCATGCTCTAAGCTATGCTCTGAAGATCTAATATACACTGCACTTCAGTTTCAGACTGAGCAATGCGGGGATCTAAATGAGATAAAATGAGAGTCATCCACGATAATTCGCGTCGTTCTTTAGGAACGATGATGCTCTTATCTCCCCCTAACGACTGGAAAACTGTTTCATAGAAGTGACAATCCGCTAAACGAGCGGTAAACAGATTGCCTATCAAAGGTTCTAAGTAACGAATAATCGAAGGAGAATCATATCCGACATAGATTCTCATCCTTCACTGAGGCCCCATTTTTGTACGTAAGGGAGGCAAGATCGGCACATATACCGCACAACCAAATATGCGCAGATACGATATGTCGAGTTCGTATCTAGTAACCAACTGAATAGTACTAAATGGTTGTCACAACAGGCCTCAGGTGGACCAACTTTGCTCCATGCAATATTGCATGGCCCTAAGCAACGATCAGGAACCTGGTACGTATAACCAACGATCGAGCAATCATTTGTAAACGCTTAATGAATGCCTCTGTCAAGCTATTCTGGGTGTGAACATGGGGTACATGATGTTCAACTTCAACGCCAACCGATATGCAATAGTCATCAAAAGTTTTAGATGTGAATTCTCCAACATTATCCAATCGAATAGATTTGATCAGATAATTAGGGTGGTGAGCCCTAAGCTTGATAACCTGAGCCAACAGTTTTGAGAATGCAGGGTTCCTTGTGGACAATAAGCACACGTGTGACCAACGTGTGGAAGCGTCAACCAAAACCATAAAATGTCTAAATGGTCCGCAGGAAGAGTGAATCGGTCCACAAATGTCCCCCCTGAATCCGTTGTAGAAAAATAGGAGGATTCAAATGAATCTTGTCCTAAGAAGGCTTAGTAATAAGCTTTCCCATCGAACATGTTTGACATGCAATTCCTTGGATCGAACCTAAACTTCGGGTTAATGGATGCTCGTGTGAAGATTTAAGGATACGGCACATCGCTATTCGTCCAGGATGTCCTAAATGATCATGCCAAAGTGTAATTTCGTGCGCAGTCCCATTAGTAAGGCCGGCCATATAGTGGCATTCTATGGGGCGTATGGTCATAGTATATAAACCACTCAGGGTACGCTCCATCTTCTCTAGAATACGCTTCTAACCATATTCGTACGAAGTTATGCACAGAAATTCAACTCTGTTTTCTACATGGGTTTCAGCATAGTAATTCTTATCTCTAATGTCCTTGAAACTTAACAACGTTCTACCGGAACGTGGAGAATAGAGTGCCTCAAAAATGGTCAAGATTGTACCATTAGACAACATTATACGTGCCTTACTGTATCCTTCTATCAGGTTAGATGGGCCTGAGAGGGTTGTCAGAGGTGCATTCTTAGGTATGAAGTTAGTGAAATAGATGTGTTCACGCAAAACAGTGTGCGTGGTTGCACTATCTGCCAGACAACTAACTTTCTCACTAGTCATACCTAGAATAAAAAAATTAGTTTAAATCGGTCACATGCATAAAAGTTCATAAAAACAAATATCAATTCAAAATAATTTCATTTATTCGAGGATTAAAAACTTAATATCCAAAACAAATCACTAACTAATAATCCAAACATAAAGGAAAATTGTTCAAAAATCAACCAAAAACAAAGGAGCGATTTGGCCACTAGGTGGAATTCGGCCCCATTTGTCTTATTTCAACTAAAAATAAGTCTATGTCTAAGATTCTAATCTTCCATATGGATGGTATCCTCCTGAAAATCAGAAACCTCCATCTTCATAGTCTTCGGTTCATCCACTTGCATGAAGTTTGATTCAAACTTCTTACACGAGAATGATATTCATCTACAACCTTCTTGGGAGCTCGACAAACACGGGACCAATGGTCTTTTGAACCACAGTGATAGCACATGTCCGCATCCATTGAAGTTTTGGACCTTAGGAGCGAGATTTGAGCGCTTCTGGGCTTTGTTTCCTCCC